GTGACTTCAATACGAATCTGAACCCATCAGACAACAGAATTAGTCAATCACAAAGTCACTATGATCCCACTAGGAATAAATTAGAGGAACTCATGGAGGGGTTTACAGATACGGCTTATGTAAGCCAAACAAAACCCTTTGTCACTTACTACCAAACAGTAAGAAATGGACAATCGATGGCTACGAGATTAGATTACATTTTTCTCGATAATGACAATATACAGATGTGTAACAAATCAGAGACTAAGTTCGGAAACTCTGATCACCTTCTTGTATGGTGTTCGTTATATCGTAACCGGGAAACACCCAAGCCTACTTTATGGAAGCTAAATCCGCGCATGCTAAATAATCCATTCATATTAAAAGAAATAGAAACTGATCTTAAGAATAAAGAGGCAACCACAGATTGGGACTATTACAAGGTCCGGTGCCAATCAATTTTTAGGGCTTGTAAGCCACCAACCGCCCCAGAAACACGCATACACAAATTACATAAAAAAATAACGGAACTTAACAATAAAATGGCAATGAATCCACAACTGTCCGATCTAAGTATTGTGATAACACAGTTAAACTCAGAGCTACAGGAGGAGTTAAAGCTACAAACAGAAAAATGGCAATTGAGATCGAATATTAAATGGCTAGAAGCAGGGGAAAAGTCAACAAAGTATTTCTTCGAGCGGTACAAGTCAAGAACATTACAGAAAGCAACAAGTCTAGTGAGAAACCCCACAGCTCCAGCCTCAAAGGATAGACTAGAAATACTGCAGTATATAAAGGAACAATTCGCGATACTATACCGAGCAGAACCGATAGATCTAGAAGCAGCAGAGGCTCTTACAGAAGATCTGCCTTCAGTGTCACAGCAACAAAATACTGCTCTAATAAAAGAAATCAGCCTACAGGAAATCACAGAGACAATCGATAAACTCCCAAAACACAAGACGCCTGGACCAGATGGCTTAACACACGAATTTTACAAGACGTTTCGTGACAAAATTTCCCCACTTCTTCAGATTGTCTTTAACAAAGCTCTAAACTCGGGCGTAATTCCAGACTCATGGCAGAAATCAGTAATCACACTGCTCCCCAAAAAAAGTGAGGAACTAGATAATATTAATAATTGGAGACCTATCTCACTAGTAAATGCGGACACTAAGATCTTTACGAAGATCATGGCAGACAGGCTCAACATCATTTGCAAGGATATTATAGGTGAATATCAAGCAGGTTTTATAAAAGACAGGTCAATTGTTGATGCCGCCTTGGACATTATAAGCACGATGAGAAGTCAAAAAAATCTGACGGACATGAACTGGCTTCTTTTCTTAGACCAAAAGAAGGCGTTCGATAGAGTGGATCACAATTACCTAATACTAGTACTTGAAAAAATGGGCTTTAGTCCCACCTTTACAAACCTAATCAAAAGTCTTTTT